CAATTATATTCACAAGAAACATATACTAGCAAGTTGTATGATATAAAAAAGGTTTCAGAATATTTTAGTAAACCGATTAGTGAACAAACAAATTCTCATATTTAGATTAAATTAAATTATACATACTAGTCTAAATAAAGTAGAACTCATTTGAGTTCTTAAAAAGATTTTCTTTAAACCACTATTCATATTTTCTTGTTCCAAAAATTCGTATATATTGACCTTGAAGTAAGAGTAAAAGAGAGAAGTATCAGTTAATAATCTAAGCCCCTTTTAGAGCAAAATACAATTAATTTAACTTTGATTTAATGCTATTGTTACCTCAAATTGAATATTGCGATTCTTTAATTACATGATTCACATGACAATTGTTAAGAATCTTACTGTTTGGAATCGAATATTGAACCCTGTTGAACCAAGACATGGGAAAGAGCATTATCTTTAGCTTCCAATTGAAGCATTCAATTATTCAGAAAGTGCCAAAACTGTAAAGAGTGGCAAAACTGACAAAACTATAAAGAGTTCATTAATAATTGTAAGAATTTATTTGCATGTATGTTTGTAAACTGTGAATAGTGTCACATCATTATACGTATCCATACTGTGGAATGAACCAAGACTATATTTTGAAAGCATAAAGCTTATACAAATTTTGCTTCTAATGTTAAATCCTGAAGTTAAATGGATTGCTTCTATAATAACATTAAGAATATATTTGAATATAAGATTAAATCCTATATTTTTAATTTGCTTTTGTGAACAGGAAAAAATTTGAAATATATATTTTTTTAGAAGAGATCGATTCAATTGGGGTCTGGAAGAATGAAAAAAGTTAGTGGAGACAACCTGTAATATTGGTACGAAACACTCGAAAAAACTAATTCTACTGTCATATGTATATGATAGAGATTAATAATATAACTATTTTGTCCTAAATTAGAACATTAAAAAGAATGATAAAAATATAACAATAAATTTAACTAATTGTTTTTATTGTCAGGGGCTAAAAAAAATCACCAACCACAAAAAGGTGGCAAGTTTTATAACGATCTACTTTATTTTAGTTAATTATCGGAACCAAGATAAAAAGTGACAGAAAAATGGTGAAAAGAAAATTATGGAGAATTTGGATAAATTTTTACTTCTTATTTTCTCTTAAATCATAAAAACTGCTTTTCTTTTCCAAAACAATTCTATAACTATTCAAGTAATTGGCTAATTCCTCTTTATCCTCAAACTTTAAAAAAACTTTACCTCTTTCCACAAACTGATAAATAATTCCGCTTGAGTGAACAGAACCACTGTCAACAACTTGCTTTCCAGAGGACATTACTCTCCCAATTTTTTTTTCTGAAAATGCTTGAAAGATCCTATTTTTTGCGGATTGACAGGAAAACCTACATTACACACTTATGCATGTGGCTGTTTGCAGCAATTGAAGCCAACATTTAATGTATTTTACACATGCGTTGGGACTCTTTTTAACACTAGAACAATACAACCTCGGTATCAAGTTGTCTCCTTCTGATAATTCCATCAAGGGCATCTATGAAATAGTAAAGACATGTGTGACAAAACTGATAAAAGACAAATATATTGAATATACAAATAAATGTTATTGAAGATTATGTATATATATAAAAAATAAAATTTATAAAAATTGCAAATAATTTTATTGTAATAGGCACCTGAATTGTTTAAAGGAAGTTAAAAATGAGTATTCAATATTGTATTATACATATAAATTTTGGTAAAAAATCGCTTAGTGCTTACTTTGTAATTCTACAAAGTTATTTTGTGCTAGTATGTTTTAATTCATTATTTGTGTTATTCTATGAGATGGCTTTTTGACAAGGTTATTTCGACCGATCTATAACAACTTAGCATTGTCCAGAAAAATGAACTGGTTTATTTTTGCTAGCATACATGTAATTTAATTTCAGATACTGATCTTTGTGAATGTTAATTAACTTAATTAACTGAAAAAAATCATTTTTTTTTTTAGCAGAAGCACTAGAGAATCGTCTTTTTGAGCATAAGTTTAAGGTTTCATCTTTAGTCAGAAGAATTTAAGTCTTGACTTTTGTTAGAATAATTTGGGGGTTCGACTTTCATCAGAGGTTTCATCATGCGAAAAAGGTTTTGTCTAACAACTATGACCAAGTTCAAATAACTTTTTTATTTGAATTTTACTATTTCTAGTATAATTTTATTTTAAGGCGAAGTCAATTTGCTGGAAGAAGTGATGAGACAAGTGATTATAATTATTATGCAGAGATTCTAGAAAACTAAATTTTATTTGTTCTAGAAATTTAATGGAAATATGTATATATATATATTTTTTGTAATATGTACCATCAAGTTTGTGCATTATCTTTATATGGCGATGATATAATTGCTTTATCCATATAAAGCAACATTAAAATTATATTATGTTTTTTAAAATCGCAACTCCTCAATGAATAAGTCAAAATTTGCAAAAAAAACACATAATTTTATAGAACTTATATAAGACTACAATAGAATGCATTTTTTTTTGCAAAATTTTAAATATCCATTGAGGAGTTATAATTTTGAATGTCTTTAGATGATATGCACCATAGTAACTACATAATAAAATTTAATAACTTTTTTTTAATTCTTTACTTTCGCAAAAGTGAAAAAAATAAAGTTTGTTAAATTTGGTTTAGTAGTTATTAAGAAAACCTCACTAGAAGTTTAAAAAAAAATTTTAAACATAGAATAAAACTAAAATTGAGTAAATTATTTTCATTTTTAAAATTTAAATAATAATTTCTCAATAACCATTTATTCAAATTTAATGAAACTTTTTTTATTTTAATTCTGTGAGTCTTTAAAATTAAAATAAAAAAATTATTAAACTTTTATTGGTAGTTGTTGAGAAATATTGATTAAAGTTAAAAAAAAATTAGCTGCAGTTTCTTTTTTTATAGGCTAAACTTTGAACAAAGATTATTTGACATTTACCTTAACAAATTTGATCAATTTTTTATTTTAATTCTATGAGCTTATAGAATTAAAATAACTTTTTTTTATAAATTTGGTCAGGTAAGTGCCAAGTAATATTTGTTTAAAATTCAAGCACCTGTAAAAAAAGAAGCTGCAGCTAATTTTTTTTAAAATTTTCAACTACTATATATTTAAATTTAGATAATTTTTTTATTTTAATCCTACATATTCTTATAATTAAAATATAAAATTCCATCAAATTTAGATTAAAAAAATCATCTTTTAAAGTTTAAGCAAAAAAATTGCTTGCAATATTCTTTTTTTAAAATGGTTTTAAAAAATTTAAATGATGATTTTATATTAAAATCTAATCTAAATTTGATAAAATTTTTTTATTTTAATTATGAGAATATTTAGGATTAAAATAAAAAATTTTACTTGAATTTAAATATTTAATTGTTGAGAAATATTAATTACAGCCAGCTGTTTTTATAATTCTTGGATCCTGTAGTTACTTTTGAATAAGCATAGATCATATACTAAATTGATATATTCTTATAAATTTGATGACCACTAAATAAATTTAATAAATTATTTTTTATTTTGATTCCATATATTTGTAGAAATAAATTAAAAAAAAATTCATTGAATTTGGATAGTTAATCTCTGAGATATTTTTGCTCAAAGCTTATAAAAATTTGGCTGCAGCTATTTTGATAAACATTTTAATGTTTTCAAAACTGAGCAAAGATATCTTAACAACTGTTTAGCCAAATTTGATGAACTTTTTTTATTTATTTTGGTTCTACAGATATGTAGAATCAAAATAAAAAATCATTAGGTAGATCCTAAGATATCTTCACTCGAGCTTTATAAAATTTGGCTACAATAATTTTGATAGATATTTTAATATTTTCAAAACTTTAACTTTGCAAAATTTGGCGACTTTTTTTATTTTGATTCTACAAACAAATAAAAAAGTTTATTGAATTTGAATGGGTAGTCACTGAAATATCTTTTTTTAAAAAGCTGTTCATAGTTATTTTGATAAACATTTTAATGTTTTCTAAACTTTGAGAGAAGATATCTCAGCAACTACCTAGTCAAATTTGATAAACTTTTTTAATTTGATTCTAGAGATTTGTAAGAAACAAAAATAATCAAAATTTGATAGGTGGTCGCTGAGATATCTTTGCTCAAAGCTTTATAAAAATTTATTCGCAGTTATTTTGATAGACATTTTAATATTTTAAAATCTTTGTGCAAAGATATCTCAGCCAAATTTGATGAACTTTTTTATTTTGATTCTAGAAATTTGTAGAAACAAAATAAAAAAATAATCAAATTTAGATAGGTAGTTACTGAGATATCTTCGCTTAAAAATCATTGATAATATTATTATTATAATCATTATTATTATAATTATTATAGTTAGATATAAGTATGTTGGGCGCAAGTAAAGTTATACAGCAGAAAATTAAAGCATTGGTACGTAACTACTGTAAGCTATAACTTATAACCGCATTTGATTTTAAATTACAATATATCTTAACATTTGGATTTACTTTATTGTTATAACATATAAACATAGTCGAACATACAGTATATCAAACCTTTTTCATATATCTATAAGTATATAATTTTTATATGTATGACTATATAATGTTTTATCCAGCAAACTCATATGATCATGAAAAAATTTCTTTGTTATTTTTTTCATGTGTTAATATGTAATTACAGTATTTAAAATTAAAACTCAGAGAGTGACTCCCTACCAATTATGATCATAAATTGCCGGATAACACCAATATTGGGCAAATTGTCAAATACAGTGATTTGGCAAATGATTGGCTACACATGCTACAAAGCAGCACGTGCTTATATGCGTTATTTGATAATTTTTGCCATATTTAAATTATTATGAATTTATATATTAGGACTTTTTAAAGATCTTTTGTCGGTTGCCATGATTTATTACAGTAAATTCAAGTTTAAATATTGGCAGTAGACACTCTTGTCTCGATAAAAAAATGTCTAATCAACGAAATTACATTTATTCTGATAGTTCCTCATCCGATTCTAATTCACCGGTAGTTCCTCTCGGTTACATGGGTGATGATGGTACGACGTATTATTTTTACTCTGCTAACTCTAGACCTAATATGAGAACCCGAGGTACCCAGACCGATAAGGATTGTAAGTATATCCATGTATTCTCAATAAGATGGTACCCAGTTAACCCTAACTATTTACAGATAAGTTGATTATATTGACAATATTTGTCATAATAATGGCGGCTGTGTTCATAATCCTATCCATAAACAATTCAACAAGGATAGAAAATCTTGTCGAAAGTTACAACAATATGAAAGATACGATAATCAAATGCACCTTATCAACAGGATAAACACGGAAATAGAGATGACTAATAACATGATAAATAAATTTATAATATTATTCAGTTCAATGAAACGTACACAGTTTACAGTAATCAAATAGTATTTTATTTTTCTTGATTTGTAACTTCCGATATCAACATTGTATATGTATAAATTTTTAATCATAATAAATAAATTTGGCTTTATTAAAAATAAATCTTGACATAATCTGACTCGTACTGATGATTAGTCAAATATTCTGACTCACGTTCATCAATTCTGACCCATATAAATAAACAGCCAAATAATACGTCTCAACCTCATACATCAAAATGCCTCGACATAAGACCGTCGAAAATAAAAGATATTTAAAACAAATGAAAGAACTTATTAGATATTCGAGAAAAAAGAAATTGTTAAATCCCACACAGAAAAATATTTTAAAAGAACGTAAAGAACGATTAAATAAACTTATTTATAACCCTCCTATTCCGTGGTATTGGAAAGAACCCAAATTTCTTAATAAATTTGAGTACGAGACATATATGGACGAAATGTCCGTCGTCATTAATCATTGGGCTATTTGTAATAGATTCGAAGAATATTGTTAAATAATACCCAAGAAGATCAAGATATTACTGAAGAAAATTCAGTAACTTGTTCTTATTATTATCAAAATAAACGCAACATTCACTATAGATAATGACGATAAAGGGAAAACTGGATACGTCGACAAGACTTCCCGAGAAAATCAATATATTTAATACTATCAATTTTAGATGGTCAATTAATTCTTTTATGGTCTTCCTCAGATTTTGCTGACATGCGGAAAGATCATACATATCGATGGACATTCTTATTAGGGTGTTCCACGGCCTATTTAATCAAACCTATGTAAGGTCACTATGTAATTTTTATATGGCAGATTTTTCATGTTACACACAAATGATGCATGAATTTTTCATTTGGATAATCTTTGGCATTCTATTATACATAACACAATTAATATTTTAAAACGTTTCCTTGCATTTT